TTTTCAGAAGCAAGGTCTTATACTGAGCACTTTGCAAGCAGAACCTCCCCTCTTCCCTTCCAAACACACAAGTACAGTTTTTCAAGACTGACTCCAGGAAGCTCCTTCTGGAAATCTGCATTTTATAACATTTTCAATCAGATTGTGTGACTCTGTAACCTAAGCCACGGATTCCAAGCAAGTTAGGCCATTGGCAGAAAAGTCATGAGTGGACAGTTGTATTATCACAGGCTGGAAAGCATGGGATTAGAGTAAATGAAATGAAAATGTAAAAAAATAAATGGGTTTGCGAGAAAGTGGGGGTGGGGGTGGGAAGGGGGTTGAGGCAAGTAAAATGATTTTAGGGATCTGAACAGACTAGGGTTAAAAGAGGCTGAGAAAAGAACTTCAGAGTAAAGCTCTGTCCAGACTGGAGGTTCCACCCAACCAAGAAAAATGTTGCAAAGTCCTTTTGCAAGGCAATGTCCCAGTCTCACATTCTTAATTTAATTTATTATATTATGCCACATCATGTTAATTTTATATTATTTATTTTTCTATTATAGTCACTTATATTCATTATAAGTATAATTTTTAAATTACTTTTTCAGTTGGATGGCATATAGCTGCAAGTAGATTTTCAAGAAAGTTTTGTGGGTGACATTCTCTGACCTCCTGCGTATTTAAGTATGCCATTTCCGTTGCCTTCATTCATAAGAAATTCATAACCTGACCCTATATAATAAAGTGGGGTCACGGCCTTTTTCTCTCAAATATCAGTGGATGTTATTCCATGGGCTTCCACAGAGAAGTGTAAGATTATCCTGATTTTAGAATGTCAAAGAGAAAAAAACAAAACTGCATAAATTTTCATTGTTTTGTTTTGTTTTGTTTTTCAAGCTCTTGCACTAATTGTTCTTCCCAAAGAACACTTAAAATTATTTGGTAGTTTACTGCTTTGTGCCCTGAATATCTAACACCTTTCTCACCATCTAAACTTTTTTTTTCACCTTTGTTTAGCCTTTGAGAGGAGCTTATCATGTTTGTCTTCCACATTACTGAGATGATTTCTCAGTGTCAAATCTTCTCTGCGGGCTCTGTGGATTTAATTTGGCTGCTGCAATTTAAAACTTCATCATTCCCTACATTATCCTTTCCTTCTCAGCGTGCTCCCTAAAGGATGATGGTTCTTTTCTTATGGCTTTCTCATCCTGTTTCATAACAACCACACCTTCTCATACTCTACTGAGATGACTAGTCAATTTTCCCACATTTTTTTTGTATTTCCTTTTTGAGTGCAGCATGATTTTTTTCTCCTTTTCTTTATAAAAATTATAAGATGCATTATTAAAATTTTAAACACATTTTAATAATGGGAGATGTACACAGCAAAAAGGTTGGAGAAACCAAAATGTATTTGGAATAGGCTGGTCTTCATAGTGCCTAGCGAATCTTCAGAATCTATCAAGTTTTTATAGTTTTAGTTTCATAGGATTGAAATGGAATTTTCTTTTCTAAGCAACCCCCAGTGTACATTGACAGTCCCTAATTCTGCCCCTTGAAAGGGAACTTTATAATTTGGAAGCATTGTTCCTTTGTCTCCACCAAAACTGCTCATTATCCCCTTCTATGTGTTTGCAATTTTTGTTTTTGCTACAAATGCATAGCAAGAAAGAGATTCAGAGAAAGGCAAGAGAACAGAATGGGTAGATGACACTTGTGGTATGCTAAAAAGTAATACTTATAGAGGCTATGCATACACAAATTCCATGACTTAGTGGCTGCTTTCTCCTTATTTTCTACTCCTCATCCCCCCCTGGGATTTACTGTCAGTGACTGGACAGACAGAGAGGTATGAATGGGGGTAGGGTGCAGGGAGGAGTTAGAGAGAGCACTGGGGAGGCCTCAGAACTAGTAGAAGGTCCACTGCTCAGCCTTTATGGGGTTTCCAAACTGAAGACAAAAGACAGATTGGGACTGCAGTAGGGGTCCAGCTCTTAGCTTTCTTTCTCACTAGCTTGCTGTATTTTTAGGTGAAATGTACTAGTGGCCCATCAATTATGTTATATATAGTATTATGTTAATCATAGATTCCAGTGTTTTGTGAAAGCTCATCATTTTCCATTCTGTGTCTTTATAGATATCTTAGTGGGAATTTAGGACTGGCTAAGTTAGATGCAGTATTAAGTCCATTTTATAAGGTAAGGCTTGGCCCTGACTTCTTTGACTCTGCTTTACCTGAGAGTCTTGTTACAGATGAGCAGTTCCTGTGTGGTTCTCAGCTGAAATAAAGGTGCTGGGTTCTGCCTGACACCTCTAACTCAGCTTGCCTCTGGTGAGTCCTTCCTCATTCTATAACTCCTGTGAGGAACAATTATTCTCTCCATCCCTTCTCTATCAAATGTGACCTTTACATGACTCTGGTTGGAGTGGCTCTTAGTGTCCAATAGTCTGATTCTTTTATGACTTCAAAGATCCAAACTCATGCTTCTTTAACATGTAATCTCGATTATTCTTCCTGGGATTTGCATTGCCCACCAACTACTCTTAGTACTATCTCTAGGAGGATAAGGATTGAATCATGTGGCTTATATTAATTCATTCTTGCAGCTGGCTCCTATAAGTAGTTTGCTTAACTTTCTGTACATCTTACAGATACTCTAGGCCTCAGTCAATAGCTCTTGCCAGGTTTCAGTGGTTGATTATCTGCACTTGGCTACTCTCAAATATCACCTTCTTGTCTCTCTTTCTATCGTTATTTCCCTAGAATCATGAAGTTTTCTTATAATCCAGGTTCCTGTCTCACTCTCCCTAAAATTCAGGTTCTGTTTTCTTTTTCTTTTCTACTCACTTGGATACTCACTTGGATATATAGTATTTGTGAAGCCATTCCTACCTACCCTAGTAAATACAATTACGTACCACTTAACAACAGGGATGCATTCTGAGAAATGTGTCCGTAGGTGATTTGGTCATTGTGTGAAAATTATAGAGTGCACTTACACAAACATATGGAATAGTTGCTACACACCTAAGTTATGTGATCTAGCTCATTGCTCCTAGGCCACAAACCTGTATAGCATGTTATTGTTCAAAACAACAGAAGGTTAAATCAAGCAGAAGAGAATATGATGCAACCAAGAGACACAGTAAAGAAGAGATGTATGAGGTTGCTTTAGAGGTTGCTTTCAGCATAATGTGGCATGTTGTTTACAGCATTTTAAAAAATAAGTAGAAAGAGTGGACTCTAAAGCAACAATCTATATATATAAAAGCCCAATATGCAAAGTGTCCCCTCGGGAGTTCGACAAAATGGGAGTTCAATCACTTGCTATGACGTGCACTGACCACCAGGGGCGGAACGAAGGGAGGCCCTGGCTGGCAGCCAGCAGCCACTAGGGACCCTATCAGTGCATGAATTTCATGCACTGAGCCTCTACTAAAAAGTATAATATCATAAATACATAAATCAGTAGCCTAATCATTTATTACATTATCAAGTCTTACAGACTATAGTGCTGTACTTTCCTAGGACTGCCAATACAGTGTACTTGTTTACATCAGTGTCATCACAAACACATGAGTAATGCCTTGTGCTGGTACGATGTTCTGACTGCTGTGACATCACTAAGCGGGCAATAGGGCAATAGGAATTTTCCAGCTCCATTATAATCTTACTAGAGGCCCGATGCATGACGATTCCTGCAAGAATGGGCCTTCCCACCCCTGGCTGCCGGCACCGCCTTCACTCCAGCTGGAGCAGCCTTTCTGCCTTCCCACACTGCCCAGAGGCCCGGAGCAGCTGGGGCAGTGCGGGATGCCTGTATCGTTATCACGACGACATCACAAGTGTCCCACCTGGCTCCCAGCTGCTTGGCGCCTGCATATGCAAATTAACCCACCAGCTTTGTTGGGTTAATTTGCATACTCACTCCTGATTGGCTGGTGGGCATTGTGAAGGTACGGTCGATTTGCATCTTTCTCTTTTATTCATGTAGATGGGACCACAGTTGTATATGCAGTCCATCATTGACTGAAACGTTATGAGGCTCATGATGATACTGTCAATATTGCCAAGTTTAACCAGTCTTGTCCATGGTGTGCTCACTGGTTTATGTCAATATGGCATCCCTGGAAACTGTAAAGTCTACCAATACTCTTAAGTAACTTGATGTACTAATGTGCACATAAGGCAGAAATGCAAATTTTGAACATTTCACACCCTGCTGTGTATTGCAGCAATTTAAAAAATGTTAACTATTAAAAATATTTGCTAATTTTCTGAGATTTGGGGCCTTAGCAGTGTTTAGTATAATATAGTATTCAGCATTTTTAAAGTCACTAGAGGCATATAAGGCAGGAAACAAATTGATTAGTCATGGCTCAGAGAAATTCTCATCAACTACCCACTCTCACATCCTTTTGTTTCATTATAGCAATGGATTTAATTTTGTTGTACAACAATACTGTCCATTCACGTAGCATATTTTATCAATCATCTTGAGTTTTTAGACTAACAAATATCTGAGAGTCTTGTTGCAGATGCGTAGTTCAAAGAAAATCAAGGAGGAATTTTTTACAGAACTGTAACCAAAAGCAGATGAGGTGAAGACACAGGGATTATTAGCAAGGTCAAAGCTCAGGTTATTGGCTGGACTTCAAGCTATTTAATAGAAATATAATGCACACCACAAAGGAGAGTCACATATGTTACTAAAAATTTTCTAGTAGTCATATTCAAAAAATAATTTACAGCAAGTGAAATTAATAATATTTTTATTTAATCCTTATTATGAAATCAGTCTTTTATTTGTGTACTAAAAACTCAAAATCTACTGTGTATTTTACATTTATATAAGATCTCACTTGGACTAGTTACACTTTAAGGGATTAAGAGCCACGCAGGGCTAATGGCCGCCACACTAAACAGGTCTAGAATTTCATGTTATCATCATGCTTTGAGAAAAAATATTTTATAGAAAAAAATTATTAATGCAAAAGACAAAATTATTTTCTCTTACCTACACAAATCTTCTTTTATGTGAAGAGAGATCAATTCCTTAGGAACATGAAAAGAAAGTATGCTCTCTGACATCTGCTCCCGGATTCGCATCCACTTATTGTCAGATGTGGGAAATCTATATAATTTACACACCGGGTTCTTTAACACTGAGTAGAAGAAAGAAACAAAAGCTTGAGGGTTAAATTATAAAGATATGCACACTAGATGAAGATGAATTAACAAAATCATTAATCAAAGTATTTTCTAATTATTTATTCAATCAAAATTTGTTTTTAAATAAATAATAATCCATTAGTGTTTTTGAATTTCTAAGAATTTTGTTCTTCCATCTTATTTTTTTCAGTAGCTTCTTGAACATATAGTCTTTTAAAAAGAAAACATATTTTATTGATTTTTTTACAGAGAGGAAAGGAGAGGGATAGAGAGTTAGAAGCATTGATAAGAGAGGAACATGTATCAGCTGCCTCCTGCACACCTGCTCCTGGAGATGTGCTCGCAACCAAGGTACATGCCCTTGACCAGAATTGAACCTGGGACCCTTCAGTCCTCAGGCCGACGTTCTAACTACTGAGCCAAACTGGTCAGGGTGAACATATATTTATCAAATTAAAAAATAACACATCAAATGCTAATTCATAAATATGACTACTGTGGTGCTCCAATTTATCACTTATTAATTTCTTTTTCTTGTAAAGATTTCCTTAATACATATGTATTTATAGATACAGATGAAAATACATGTATTTATACATAATACACACTTTGCAAAAATATATTTCTGAATTTCTTCTGATCACTCTTAGTCAACTTTACCTATTTACATAGTAGATGACAACTGGTAAGTTTTTTTCCAGAGGTTTTAAATGACCCCACTCCTAAAATCTATCGATTTCTTAAATGTCAGAAAACTTATTCCATGGTTTACCATCTATTAAAATTCAAATATCATACACAGTTTAGTGCCAATGAATTAATAACACACTTTCCTGGAACTACATTTTATCAGGAGCAAGACAGGGAGACTATGAACAAACTATATATTCAGAGTAGTGGACAGTGATTAGGGGAGAAGTGACAAGATCGTGCCATCAAGGGCTTTAAAGATTTAAAGAAAATGTATAGGGCCAGATATGAAGATAATACTTGGTTCTATTTGTGCGTGAGGCTAGCTCTCCTCCCATATTCCTGAACCAGGTATTTCAGGGTAGAATTTTATTTCTCTCCCCTCTGGCAGCCACCACAGTTATTTCTTGTCTTTTTTTTTTTATAATAGTCATGCTAATAAGTGTGAGGTGATATCTTTTTGTAATTTTGATTTACATTTACCTGATGTTTAGTGATATTTAGAATGTTTCCATGTACCTGTTGGCCATCTGCATGATTTATTTATAAAAATGTCTTCAAATCATCTACCCACTTTTTAATTGGAATGTTTATTTCTTTTGTTATTGATTTGCATGAGTTCTTTATATATTTTGGATATTAGCCTTTACCAGATATATTTTCTTTTATCTGAAATATTAAAACTTACAGCAAGTCACTGAAAAAAACTATGATATTTCATTCATTTTTAATGTGACAATGTTTCAAAGATATAAGAATTTTACTACAATATCTATTGTCATATCTCTAGAGTTGGAGAAGAAAAAAAATGTATTGAATTCAATATAGTGTCAGTCAGGTTAAACCACTCCTGGGATCTCATGAATTCTAATACAGTTAATATGATCAGGAATATAAATGTATATTTTTATAGTAAGACAAAAACTCAATCTCCAAATGTCCAATTTTTTTCCTTACTAACCTAAGTAAATATTCAGCTATTTGGTTTATCTATACTCAGTATATGTGCAGCTTTTTAATCTCCTTTTTTGCTAAGAGTATATAGAATCACTGCATCCTGCAAACCACAATTAAACTCCTTGCATTTTCTTGCCTTTTATAAAATACTAATTATATTTAGAAAATTTATATTTTATATTAATTCACAAATGAAACATTCTTCATTTCCTGTCATCACAAAGCTAGTCCTTCAACTTTTGATTTTATTGTTTTTGTTTTAATGCTCTTCATTGCATTCTAAATATAAACCTTTGTTGACATGACTTCAGCAGAAATCAAGGGCAGTTTGATTAAAGAACTCCAGTGCTGTCCTCTGACCATCTGGTGCATGACATGCAAGGATTCTATGGGAACCTGCTGTTTATAAGGAAAACACATGGGGCAAATAATTTAAAATATCAGACAACTTGATCATCCAAAAAAAAAAAATCTTAATATTGTCTGCTGTCTAACTCTTGTGGTATGATTCTGAACTTTTGAAACTCAGAGGTCTCCAAATACTAGTAATAAATTTTATATATTATCAGGATCTCAATGTAAACATAATATAATATTTTTAAAGCCAATTTCATCCATCAGGATTCCTTATCAAACATCTACTATGTATAAAGCAAGAACATACCTACTCTGTATCCTGAAACAGCATAAAATGGTCCATGACTTAAAAAAATAATAATGGCTTGACTTTTAACTTCCATGCAAATTTGTTTCATTGGTTACAAAAATGACCAGATAAGATGTTCTCAACTCAAGTTTCTTATTGGGTGGATAGTGAGGAGATTTTGACATCCTTACATAAAAGAAAGGCATGGTATTCATGCATCAAATATTGAACAATGGGCCATAAATGATGAATGTTTTTGTCATTTTTTTAAATGCTTCTCCCCTATCGCAGAGATAAAATTCCGACAGTTCTGCACATACACTCTGGCTGTGTAAATGAGTCTGTCATGTTCAGCTCTGGCTTTCCACAGATGCCACGACTTATCTCCAGATCACCACCAAACGAGTATTACATTAAATGTTAAAAGGTCTTCTTAAAGAAGAAGAAGAAAAAAAAGATAAAAATATGAATAATTAAATGGCAATAAAGTACATATTTATTGACAACTGAATCTAAAAAACAAAATAAACAAACAAGCAGAACAGAAATAGATTCATAGATACAGAGAACATTTTGACAGTTACCAGATGGGAGTGGACTTGGGGGAATGGATGAAAAAGATGGAGGGATTAAGAGGTGCAAATTGGTTGTTACAGAATAGTCTTGGGTATGTAGAGTACAGCATAGAGAATATAATCAATAATATTCCTATAATTATGTATAGTGTCAGATGGGTATGAGATTTATCTGGAAGAACACTTAGAAAGTTATAGAATGTCTAATCACCAGGGTGTACACCTGAAACTAATATAATATGTCAACTGTAATTGAAAAATAAAAAAAATGATTTTTAAAAAAGATGCATTTCTGACCATACAATAAGCTCAACCCAGCAATAATATCTAACATCTATTATTGGTTTTTTTAAAAGGCATCCCTGTGTGTATTCTCCTCATGTTTTAAACTGCTTTGCCCAAAACAATTACTAAAAATGTCATGTGACATATTCTACCAAGAGAAGAGTGGTGGAGACATTCTGGACCATATCTTGGTCTTGTGACCAAGGGTCAAGTTCTAAGCTGGTCCAGATAGTGATACATTCCCCTTCAGGCCTACCCTATAAGCTGAACAAACATAGGGACAGAAAGTAAATGGCAGATTTTCCCCACAAATTGAAGCACAACTCATTTTCTGTATTGTCTCTTCCAGACACTATAACAGGGCCTATTTAACAAGATAATGCACCACCTGTTTTTACATGGAATTCAGAAATTGTGAAAGCCCAGCTGCTCCAATTCTGAATTATCAAAGTAAAGATGTCAAGAAAATGGTCATGCTACCACATTGACAACGTACACAAAAAATATGGCTGCCCAAGCAATCTGCTTTAGGAAAAAAAGGTAATCCAGAGAGCTATCACGGGTGTGATTTTCTCTTTTTTGTGTCTCTCTTAGAACTGTCAGTGGATTGGACAAAAAAAATTTGGAAATCTGGATTCCGGGTCAAGGGGATCATCAAAAAGCCTTATTTCATCAGGTTGTCTTTAACATATTTCTCCAGAGGAAGCTCATCTGTGATTATCTTCACATAATTTTTTGCTTTTGGGAGGTGGTTGGAGTCACATATTTAAATGGAATCTGACTTCATTGGCTTTAAGCCTTACAAAATCATTATTTTAATGTACTACAGATTCTTGTAGAAAATCTATTCATTCTGTAGCTCTTAATTATGCAGTTGTTTAATAGTTCAATTATTCAGCTGAATGTACATGCATTGCCTATTCTCCAAATGCTACATTATACTTACTATAGACAAGTCTGAATAATCCAATTAGACACTGACACTCCGCATTTGTACTTGAACATATCTTAGATTTATATACATCTTAAATGCCGGTTGTGTCTTTTTAAGAGTGGGTGAGAATTGAAAAACCTAACAGAAATCACTAAAACACTATCCTAAGCATGGCTAATAGAAAAGAAAAGGTAAAAAAAGACCTTGACAGGAGCTCTGAAAATACATCAAAGAAACATTTCTTTAAGAATACTAAAGATGAGGAAGGAGGCTTCGGGGGCTGGGTGAGATGGGTGAAGGGATTAAGCATAAACAATCAATCTGGCTTCTTGATCAGTGGTCCCAACCTATGAACCATTTCAATTCCAGGTCAGGGCACATGCCCAGGTTGTGGACTCAATGCCAAGTGTGGGGTGTGCAGGAGGCAGCCGATCAATGATTCTCTCTCATCATCGATGTTTTTCTCCCTTTCCCTTTCTCTATGAAATCAATAAAAATATATTTAAAAACAAACAAAATATCTTATAGACAAAGACAAGAGTATGGTGATTATCAGAGGAAAAGTGGGGAGTGTAAGGATGTAGAAGAAGGGGAAGGGGTCATAAAATGGTGATGGAAGGAGACTTGACTTTGGGTGGTGAACACACAATACAATACATAGATGAGGTATAATAGAATTGTATACCTGAATATAATTTTATTAAGCAGTGTGACTCCAATAAGTTCAATAAATTAAAAAAATAAAGATGAAATTGTTGAAAAAAAAAGGTACTCCAAAGAAAATTTTAGTTACTATTCTCTAGGTTTGTCATAAAATCTAAATTGTTATTGTAAGTTGTTGTGTTTAAAACACACACACATACACACACACACACACACAGTAGAAATAGGATATAAATAAGCTGA